ATCCTAATAGCAATGGGAAGAGTTTTGAAAGAGAAATTGCATTATCAGATTAACAGTTTGAGAAGATTTTTTTTCGAAAGACCAGGTCTTGTTATGTAGTCCAGGTTGGCCTTGAACTCATGAGTGCTGGTATTACACGTGTGCACATAGCACCCAGATGCACCACACCCAGTAAAAAGATCATTCTTGATATGGTATAGAGAATGGATTAGGAAGGGATGGGGTAGAAAGGTCTTTTATAGAACTCTGGGTGAGAGAGGTTGTAGATTGGGCCAGGTAGGTGGCAATGGTTTTATTTGAGAGATATGTAGGAGGTAAAGGGGGAAAAGACTCTACTTAGGGCTTGAGGAAGATAGATGTAAGGTTGACATTGAAATGAAAAGTCACAAAAAGTGAGGCTATCTTACTTTGGACATACAGAAACCCTCTCCTGTTTACCTCCTGTCCTTTCTTCTATGGATCCCAGGTCTCATTACCACACTCAAATTTGTGAATTATCCAAGACTCTTTTTGGCCTTATACCCAATTCTTCTCCTCATCCCTACCCTAGTCACCCTTCTTCTAGATAGTATTCCTAAATGTACTGTCCCAGAAGGCAGTTTTGAGAGACCACAAAATGATCCAAAATGTAAGGGGTTCCCCTCCTTTGGTTTTTATAGGCAAATGATGCAAAATTCCAGACTTTGATTTTTTTTTTATGGTAACCAACTGAGTTATAAAGGGGTACTAAAATTTGTTAGTCATAAACTAAAATTAGCTTTTAACTGGAACTCACAGAAGACTCTAATTCTGTTTCCTACTAAGAAGTCTGGCTGCCAAGCAATGTTTGGCAATGCTGCAAAGCTCCTCCTGCACATGTACACATGCAGCCAATTGGCATTCTTGCAATTTTCAGGAAGGACACTTTGTTATTGGGGCATTACCAGTGATGTTTTGAGCTGGTCATGGTTTATGGTGCCTGACATTTGTGCATTTTAATTACAAATTATGATTCATGGAGCTCCATCATGACCAATTTAATATGCCATAGATTATTTGATTAACTCTATGGAGTAGAAGGATGTACATCTCTGACCTTATCTCCTGCCACTTTCTCCCTCCCTTCCTTGCTGACCTAGAGCATATGTAGCAGGCTCTCACCTCAGCAACTTTACACTTGCTATGCCATCTGTCTGGAATGCTCCCCTCTCCCACCCCAGAGATCACATATCTCTCATCTTTCCTTCAGGTCTTTGTTCAAATATCATCTCTGTGAGGACTTTTCTGGCTATCCTATTTAAATTATAGTTTTCTGGTTCCCTGAATTTTCTACTATATTTCTTTGATTTATTATTCTCCTTGACACCTATAACTGTCTGATACACTATATATTTTACTTATTTACTTATTGACAATTTACCTCCAACTAAAAGATAAGCTCCATGAGAGCAAGGATTTATTTGTTTTGTTCCTTGTTATATCACTAATACATAGAACAATACCTGATACAGAGTATGTACTTCCTAAATATTTATTGAATATCGAATAAGATTGAATAGTTACATCATGAATATTTTTTAACCTCTTAGTCTCCAATACCCAGATCCTTTTTGGGGCAGTACTGGGGTTGAACTGAGGACCTCACACTTGCTAGGCAGGCACACCACCACTTGAGCTACTCCACCAACCCTTTTTGTGTTGGTTATTTTTTAAATAGAATCTCATTTTATGCCTGGACCTGCCTAGACTGTAATCCTCTTATTTGTGCTTCCTCGAGGAGCTAGAGATGACAGGCATGTACCACCACACCTAGCCAAGATGAGGTCTTGAGAACATTTTACCCAGGCTGGCCTTCAACCATGATCCCCCTGCTCCCATCCCCCTCCATCTCTGCCTCCAAAGTATCTAGGATTACAAGCTTGAGCCACCATGCCAGGCTCCAACAAACAGCTCTTAAGCCATGGATACATGTAGTTTAAATCTGAATAGCCTTGCTGCCAAAGCAGATACAAACACGAACCCAGAAAAACATGTTTATACAGTGCATTTACTTAACATTTCCCAGTAGGCTCCCCCTTATTATCTCTCCCTATCCCGGGCTCACTCCTTCCTATCCTTTGAACACATTCAGATGAAAATTTCCAAAGAGAAGCTCATGCAATTGGAATTCATATTTACCTTATCTTCTCAGAATTTAACTTATTTCAGGCATTGTGCTAGGTACAGGGGAATCAGTAATGAAAAAGAAGACACAATAGAGTTTATAGAGTAGTGGGGATATTACTGTGTTCTGTTTCCAGAAAATGAACTCACTCTCTTATAGGAGAATATGAAGCCCATGTTGAGACCTGAAAGATAAACAAGAGATGAAGAGAAGATGTGGGGCGGGGTGGAGTGGAGCACATTGTAGCAGACAGAAAAGATTGTATGAGGTTGGTAGGGAAGATAGCAGTGTCAAAGGCCTGGAGGAAAGAGTGTGCATATCACTTTGTGGAAGTGAGGGAGGTCAGTGTGTTGGGATTGTGGAATTTTCATAGAGCAATGGTGATGCCTGAAGTAGGATAGGCAACGATGACCAGACCAATGGAGGCCTTGTAGGCCACATCAACCAAATCGGACTTTTGGGACATTATTTTGAGAGCAACAGAGAACCATTAAAAAAGTCTGATCAGGGGAATGACATAAACAAATGGAGTTTAATCTCCTCTCTGTCCCCTAACAAGCCCAATCCTGACCTTACCTCACTATGGCAGGCATCCAAGCCCTACCTGCCTCCTCCCTGAGCTTTCTGCTGTTGCAACTTGCATGCTTCTCCCCCTTTCAGCCCTAGGAATCCCATCCTCCCTTCTTTGTACACCTGTGTTCTGTCTCCCCCATTGCACTGATTTCCCAGGAGACAGGGACAACTTTTCCAACATAATTAGGTCGTCCCACACTTGCTTAGCACTGATCCAAATAAGACTGAGACAAGATGATGATAAACACAACCCAGACTTTTCTTACACTCCACACACCCATAGTTACATTGTACTAAAATAACCTTTCCCTCAGGAGACAGTGTTAATGTGTTTCTCTCCTTCCTATCTGCTTTCACCTTCCTCTGCTCTCAAAGTAACTACTCTCTAATGTATCCCCTAATGGGATGGAGAAACTCACCCCAAAACTTGTTCAAACTGCAAGTTGCTAGAAAAGATTAATCTCTGGCAAGAGCAAGCAGATCAATAGTTACCTGGGGCCTGGGGAAGAGTTAGGGAGAACTGACTGGGCTGAGGTCCAGGGAACTTCTTGGAATAGAGGAAGTATTTTATATCTTGATTGTGGCAGTGGTTCACAAGTGTATAACTTTGTCAAAATATGAAACATGTACAACAACGTTATTATATGTAACTAGACCTCAATAATGTCAAGTTAAAGTAAACTACCTATAAATTAAGGGTCAACATGACAATTCATAAACTTCAAAACACATCGCGACCTCAGCATAAAACTAGGACATGGCCATACAGGAATGGTTACCTCCCTATGGCTGCAGACACCTAAGAAAGATAGGTCCATCTGCTGTAGAAGGCCACATAAAAGAAGCAGAAGAGCCAAGGTTAACATACAAGAGTTCAGACCAAAGTATGTAAAGTCATACATAACATGGACACAGATTTACTCTCCAAACCTCAATATACCCAGGCTTGAGTGCTGCAAATTTAAAATAAATAGAAGTCCTTCTAGAAACTGCACATTAGCCCTAAATGTGGACTGGAATCAGTCGTTAACATCACAGAGGGCTTCTTGAGCAGCTGGGACTACTTTACTTCCACGGTGATGCTGAGGAAGAAAACATAATTCTGCTTGGTGTGCTAAGGCATGTGTGTGGGGGAGGGTAATTCTTGAGTTTTCTGTGAGAAGGGATGACAAGGTGGCAAGATGAACATTCTGTTCCAATGTTGCATGAGTCACAGGAGTGGACCAGAGGCTGATAGAGAAGAGAGACAAGTGTGAAATATGAGGGGCTGTGTATGGGGGTGTGCTTCCTTTCTGCTTGACCTCTCCCTCCTCACAAGCCTTTTAGCACAGAAAATCTAAACCCAACTCTTGCACACAATGTGTTCTGTGTCTCCTGTACAGTTCTCTTGTGTCTCCTCTGTGGGCTCCAAACTGTGTCCCCACCTAGCCCAGCGCTGGGCACACAGCAGAAGATTGAACAAATAATTCCTTTGGGATGAGAATGTGAGGCAACAAGGAGGGGACTGGTGGGAATGAGGACAGGAGGGTAAAGTAGGATAGACTGGCCAGGATGGGTCTGTGGAGTGAGTGGAGTGAGGAGATGAGAATGATGAGTGAAAAACAGATGGGAGAGAAGTAAAAAAAAAAAAAAAAAACTAAAAAACTAAGTTAGGGAAAGTATGGGAGAGGAAGACAGGATTAGTGAGAGAGGTCAGGACCAAATCAGAAGTCAGTGGGAGCACATAATAGGGGGTCACAGGGGAAAGAAAGGCGTCAACAGGGAAAAGAAGATCAAGGATCAGTGGGAGAGGTATGATCAGAGGTCATCAGAAGAGAGCAGGTCACAGTATACATTACCTGCTTACGAGTCTGTTTCTGGGGCATCTCCGCAAAAGCAGGGAGCACCTCAAACCCTGAAAAGCCTACAAAACGCTCCCTCGCCTGAGAACAAGAAGGGTGTCGGTCTTCTGGACCATGCACAGGAAATCCACTTCAATTTCCAGTCGCAGGGGTGCTTTGGGTACAGCAATCGTGGGTCTCAATGCTCTTGTGGGCTAGAATAGCTCCTCCCTGACGCGGTTACCCAGCAACCGACAGGCAGCCAAGGCGCAGGCGCGTCCGGCACCCCCTCGGGGCACAGGGAGGAGTCGGGGCCCCGCCCCCTCAGGAATAATTCGCCTAGCGGCCTCGCGCATTCGTAGCTCCGGCATGCGAGAGGGGCTGGACGCCCTGACACCGCCTCCTCATGAATAATGCAAGCTCCGGGCGGTGTCCCGGACCCGGAAGTGGAGTTGCCGAGTCACCGCAGTGGCTGAGCTGCTGACAGGAGGCGGCGGCGGAGAAGGAGGCGAGGCAAGACCTGCGGCTCTGCTGGGCCACAGCCGCCGTAGCGCTAGGCAAACCCACGGTGCCACGCCGGCCTCAGCCCGCCCGCAAACCTCTCGCCCTCTGTCCACCCTTCCATTCACCTGTCCGCCCCACTTGTCCGGGGCGGCCTACTCTGCACCACCTGCTGGGCTCCTGGGGCCGCCACCCCGCGCGGTCCCGTCGGCGTCCCCGGCCGCGCCCGGCCCCTGGCCCGCTCGCCCGCCGGCACCATGATGGAGGAGATCGACCGGTTCCAGGTGCCCACCGCGCACTCGGAGATGCAGCCGCTGGTGAGGGGGCGGGCGGCGGGCAGGCCAGGACCGGGAGGGGGCGCCAGCTGAGGGGGAGGGAGGGAATTAGGCCGTGGGATTGTGCAAAGGGGCGCATAGTATGAAGCAAAGAGAGCCCTGAAAATGCATTGCCGGGGGAGGGAGACTTGCACAGCAAGAAAACCGTGAGAGAATACGAGCAAGGAGAACTGAAAGGACGGAGGGCACCGTTGGCCGAGGCAGAACACCTCGGTTGGGACGGAGGGGGGCACAATAGTGCACACTGCTAGTGGAGGCCTATAGAAGGGGATGACAAGGGGGCTGTCACGGGGCACCGTCAGCAGTAGGCCCAAGGGAATAAGAGAAGAGGTGGCGGGGGGCGTTTAGCCGTAGAGGCCTGTGATGCTCAGGGCGGGGGAGGGGGCCGGGGACAGCCAGGGCAAGAGGGATTGGAAATAGGCTGGAGGAAGAAGGGCCTGCCTGTCCGCCAGTCCGCTGGATAAGGATAGAAACGCTAACCCTGAGCGGTAGACCAGTGAGGAAAGGGGATCTGTGCAGGTCCTGGGAATTCCGTTCGGGAGGGGAGCACAGGCAGTCCAGGCTGGGGGTATCGGAACCGGAAAGGAAAGTGTGTGGCGCGGCGAGATGGAGAATCAAGGGTGTAGATTAGAGCGCTCCGGTACCGACGGGAGAGGAGGCGCGGCTGTTGTGGAGCGGCCTGGCCCATCTGTTCTTGAAGAGCCCCAGTCATCCTAGGCCTACGTGCTTGATCTTTGCTGGGCCCCGGTCCTGCAGCCTGTCCGCGGTCCAGGAGTCAGGCAGGAATGATGTCATCGCTGCCGGCGCCGAGGGGATGAAAGGGGGAGGGTGACGCGGGTTTATGGTGGTCAGGCCTAAATGAGACCAAGTCCGCTGGCCATTGCCTGAGGGGCTACCTGTCTGGCCACAGACAGAGGCCTAGCTCTCTGGCCTAGAGATGGGGGAAGGGAGAGAGCTCCCAGCCCTGTTGGTTTTACCCTCTTTGGAGCCTGAATTAGCAGGAGCTGGAAGAAGACTTCCAGTCAGGAACCTGAAGGTGTGGGCGCTCTGTTCTTTGAGCTAACCTGAGCTCTCCAAGTGCTGAAGCTCTGGAGCTTTCTAAATCTCCTCCCTCTGTGTTAGACAGGTTGGCCAGGAACAGGTTCTACCCTTGCGCAGGCAGCCCTCTGACTGGCAGATAAGCTTTGTGGTTTCCTAGGCAAGTAACTTGCCCATTACAGTAGTCAAGATGAACCTGACTAGATGAATGACCATCCCTATGCCACATCGTTTGGGGGATGGTAGAGACCTTGATTAGTGGCTACCTAGCTGGAAATGAGTGGTTTCCCTCTTTTGTGAAGTCAAAACAGCAGCTTTATAGAAATGTATAATATTAAACTAAGAAAAGAGATGTAGGACTTTTTCCTAGCCCTGTGCCACTATTGGATTATTTGGGAGCCAGGAAATCCTGGAGAAAGGTCTGTCCCATGAACTTAAAGTACTTTGGGCTGGGTTAGGAGAACTTTCCTTAATAGGTTCCCTATCTAGTCAAACTAGATTGCCTTCCAGTTCTAAGTTTCTACTCAAGAACCAAAAGAGGGGAAGGTTCAAGTAAGTCAGAAAGAAGCAGTGAATTGGTTCTTGACGACCATCTGGGGTTCCTGAGAAGGGAGGTAATAGCTGTGTAAGGAAAGGGAAGGAGTAGGGTCATCAGGATCTCTGTTGTCTTTGGTGCTTCTGTTATTGCCTGATGTTCTTAATAGTGATTTGTTTTAGGGGAAGACTCCTGAGCTTCTTGCTTCTGGTCTGTGTAGCCCTGAAATAGAAGTGTTTTGGCAAGGAGGTACTTAGAATAGCTGTTGCTGCCTGCGGACTCTTTTCTTGAAGGCTAAAGTAGCCCTGTTCACAAAGTAATATTTTGTTGAGGTTGAGTGAGTCTTATAGAAATAGTGATATAGTCATCCCCATTTGGAGGAGTCACAGATATTGCCCTGCTTCTTGACTTCTATCCCTAGGTTGTACTGTAGAGACACCTCAAAACTCTTTAAATGCCCTCTATTTTGTTGAGACCCACAGAATCTTATATGGCATTTCCCCAGGGACATAAGAAATCAAGAAACACACCACAGAGGTAAAAGGCAGAAGAAAGAGCAAAGTGGCTTTTTAGGGGTCTTTGGGAAGATATTTTTTCTTCTTCTTCTTCTTCTTCTTCTTCTTCTTCTTCCTTCTTCTTCTTCTTTCTTCTTCTTCCTCCTCCTCCTCCTCCTCCTCCTCCTCCTCCTTCTTTTCTTCTTTCTTCTTCTTTCTTCTTCTTTTTTGCTATTATGGAGACCTCTAGGAATCTCTCCTCTCTCTTCTTCCCTGGACTGTTTTTCCATTTATGAAATGAAGAGAAACTATCCATTTAAAGTTTAAACAGTAGCTCCTCATTCTCCTTTCCAAAGAATATCATAAAGACAGAACTACTGACTTACCAAATTGACTTACCAAATAATTATTGAGCGTATATGCTCTGTCCCAGATACTACACTAGATATCAGGGACAGAGTGCTTAGCAGTGCAGAGACAGATGTGACCCTGATCTCTTGGAGCTCACAAGTCAGTTAAAGTTTGTCTCTTGCTTACTTTCTGAGTGAGCCCTCTTTCCCCCCAGGGCAGAGTGGGAGCTGCCTTCATAGGTCCCAAGAGAAAGAGGGACATGCTGGTGTCAGCATCATTGCCCCCTTCAGGACCTAGTGTATGGATACAGGCCTGTTATTTGGTCTATCATCAAATAATCTTCCCCCCTTACAATGGTAGGAAGAATCCAAAGGCCATTCCTTACTTGGGAAGATGAGCTGTAGGGGGAGTCATCCTTTATTTATTTATTTTTTTAATTTTTTTCTTTTCTTTTTTTACTTGAAAGAGAAACTCCACGGCCTGAAAAGGAGGCTTGGGGGAGTGGCAAGAGCTGAGCAAGTGCAGCCAGAAGATCTGGGTGTTTCCAAGGTGCTAATTTAAGCATTAGTTCTCAGGTAGTGGGAGGAAGAGGACAAGATCCCTGCCCTGTTGTTAATGCTGTTACTGCCACAGCTGCATGGAACCTCTTGTGTGGGATGGGAGTTTGCCTGAAAGGAGTAGCTTCCCTCCTTTCCCCATCACACCAATTATTTAATTGGCCTGGCTGTATCTCAGCTGCTGAACCAGGCCTGGGCCTATCTCAGAGCTCCCCAAGGGTCTCTTCCTGTCTCCTTGTAAAAGAAATGAGAGCTTCTCTTGGTGACCTATTCCCCAGGCTCCGTGCCTGCTGTGTCTGTCTCCAAGGCAATCCTGAGTATATTAGTGCATAGAATCTCCCCAAGAAACTTTGGAATGGCCCACTTTGTGTGTCAGCTTTGTGTTTAAGCCATACACTCCAGAAACTCCCAGTTGCCCAGGGCTTTCTGTTGACCAATTGGGTTGAGTTTGGTCGGCTGTTTGTATGAGCAACAGATACAGACTCTCTGGTGCTATTATCTGTTCAGCTGGTTGATGCAGCCAGTCTGCATCTTCTCTTTGGCTGTAATCAGAGAGGGAGAGATTTGTTGCAAGAAAAAGAACAGAGCTTTTAAGTACTTAATTGTGTTAGGCAACACCTTGTCTCTTGTGCTCTGAGAGGCCAGAGATACTTAAAGAATGGCATATGACAATAGACAGGGTCTCTGCATGTTTGAAAGAGATGCTAGATTGGTCTCACTGAAACCAGACTATCCGTTTACTCATTTGTTTACTTCATGAGTACTTGCTGTATGTCTATTCAGTTCCAGATTCTTTAAGGATACAGAGAGAAGTGAGATCTCTTCAGTGGGTGGCCAGGAGAAGGATGGGCTCCAATGATGACAGGAAGGTAATTAATTAATTAATCTATTTATTGGCAGTATTGAGGTTTGAACTCAGTCTCATACTTGCTAGGCAGGCACTCTACCACTTGAGTCATGCCTCTAGCCCTTTTTGGATTAGTTTTGTTTTTTTTTTTATATTTTTGCCCAGAGCTGGCCTCCAACCTTGATCCTCCTAGTTAATGCCTCCTGCATAGATGGGATTACAGAATATGCACCATCATGCCCAGCCTTAGGAAGGTTTTTAGATACATGTCAGAAAGAGTAGAGATCAATGGCTGTGTTCTCGAGAAAGAGTAACACCTTGGGACAAAGTGAAGAATGCTGAGGTTCTGACCCTTTGACTATAGGAGTTGGAAGTGGGGTTTCAGACATCTACTGATGGATGGGAGTGGTCAGAGCATTAATTCAGTGACTGGGCCACAGCAGCTCCTGAAAGTGGCAAAGAGAACATCATAAAGATAACAAATAGCCACAGTGGAAAATTGACCTACATGTATCCTGTGCTCTGGGCACTTTCAGATGACTTTTCAGTTTAAGGATAGATTCTCCCAGTGGGTCCATGTGGTTTGTGGTCCTACAGTATTTGTTAGGCTCCTGAGGGGAGGACACCTTCCTTCTCTTCCTTTATTGCAAACTGAGCATCAGATTTGTTCAGGCCCTCAACCCTTATCTACTCAGATCCTCATCCAACAAATGCCAAGCAAGAACCTATTTTCTGCTATATGCTGTGCAATAATACAGTCTTACTCCAGGGATATGCACAGCACAGAACAGATTGAAGCACTACAGGTAGTGAACACTGCAAGAAATCTAAGAAACAGGTCCAGTAGAGCCCAAAAGCAAATAAGATGGGCTCTTATCAATTGATCAGAGAAGGCCTTACAGAGAGACACTGCTGAACTGGCTCTTAGAAGAGGATTAGAAGTTTAGCAAACCAACAAGATGAGGCAAGGGCAAGAATTTCAGGAAATGCCTGGCACAGTGGCTCAAGTGGTAGAGCACCTGCCTAGCAAGTGTGAAGCACTGAATTCAAACCCCATATCACAAAAAAAAGAAAAGAAAAAGAATTTCAGGAAAGAGAATGGAGGAAGACACAAAAGGTTTCATTTGGAGTGAATTAAAGGTTTAATTAAGGGAATAATA